AACACACACCTCCACGTATGAGGTGCGGAGAACCCTTTGGCATCCAAGAATTCTCAGCTTGAATTAGACCCTCCCAGTGGTTACAAAGGTGTATTTAACAAGGAAGGAAGCAGAAGGTATTTTATTGAATAGTTTGTTAGCTTAATTTGTAACTTGTGAATATTTAAATATATGGTACGTGAGCCTCCATCTACAGCACTGCTCCAGGTCCCTTGCACATGTGAGCCGTGGGCCAGCTACTCAAGCCCAGTGCCCCCCACCAGGCCTGAAGTGGATGTTAGGACGCCGGGTTTCCTAGAGACAAAAGTTGTCTTCAGGCCTCCCACTTCCTCTTTCTTCTATATTTCTCCCAGATGCAGGAAGACCCTCCAACACCAAACCATTCTCTTGCTGCCTCCTTTCAGCTTAAATGCAATTCCAGACTAAGAAGAAATAAAGGTCCTTAAGGAGGGCACACTTAACCCAAAGATGAATCCCTCAAAATGGGCTTAGAAAGGGTGAGAAATTTTGGAATGGGAAGGGATTGCCTAGGTAGATTTCTGGCCCAGCTGCACACACACACACACACACACACACACACACACACACACACACACACAGAGCAAGGACTAAAGCACCACATGGCAACATTATCCATCACTCTGGTATTTATCCAAACAAGTTAGAAAATAAGTATCACTCCGTTTATTTATGGATGTCCATTGAGCACCTGCTATAGGCCAGACCCTGTGCCTGGTGCTGGGGCCTGGGTACGATGCTGCTCAAGACCTGGTTCCTTACTCCGGCTGGAGAGGGAGATGGACACACAGACAATTGTGGTTCACTGTGACTGTGCCATGACAGGGTGAGCACAGAGCAACCTGGGAGCCTGGTCAGGGAGGATTGGGAAGTCTCCTAAAGGAAGCAGAGTAGGAGCTAAGAGCTGAGCTAGGATTTATTCACTAATTGAGGAGACCGAAAGTGTTCTAGGGATGTGCAAAGGCCTGAAAGCAAGAGAGAGCCGGGTGCATTAGGGGAATGGAGGGTGGGGTGCGAGAGCGTGTTGGGGGAGGGCTGGGGGAGGGGAAGTTTGCTGAGAGGTGAAGCTGAAGACGTAAACAGGAGCCACATGGTAAAGGGCCTTGAAGCCACTTAAGGGGTCTGAGTCTAATCTTGAGGATAATCGGGAATCATTGAAAGCCTTTAAGCATCCCAGGGCTTAAATATAGGATGATGTGAAGATGTTCACAGGCCGTAGACGCCTTTACTATTGAAGACCTTGCTTCACATCACATCAAACATCATCAAATGAACCCACATTACAGTTATTTTTTAACAAAAATGTTGAAAGGAGTTTTATAACTCGGATTTGGAATTACTATTAATTTATTAATTTCAAGTTTGTAGATTTCTATTTCTATTTTGAAGCCAATGACACTTTTGGGGGGTAGGGGGCAGCTGTATAGGGGGCCCTTATACAGCTCACAGATCCCGTGCACTGTGTTATGGTATCAAATGAAAACAAGATAGTGACATGATCAGTTTTATGAATTAGAAAGATCACACTTCAGAAAATAGAGTGGAAATTGCTGTTTAATGGGTATAGGATTTCAGTTTTGCAAGGTGACAAAGTTCCAGAGTTCTACTGTACAACGACTAACACATTGTTAACACGACTGTACTGCACACTTAAAAATGCTTCTGCTGCTAAATTTTGTGGTGGTTTTTTTTTTCACCATAGTGGAAAGAAAGTAGAGTGGAGATTGGATTGGGAGGATCAGCCCTGGGTTTCCAGCTAGGAGGCAGCTGTAATATATCTGGCACATGGTCAAGGCTTGAAATAATGAAGGGAGAAAGAGTGAACAGATTTGGGAGAATCAATAGGAATTGCATAGAGGACTTGACAGATGAGGCAAAGGGACACGACAGGGATGGTGCATCAGGTTGGGCAACGAAGCTATACCCCCCACCAAGCTGGCAACCTGGGAGAAGCAGCAGCCAGTGGGGAGGGAGATGGGGAGCTTGAGTTGAAATGCAAGTGGAAGCTACAAGGGGAGATGTCCAGGAGGCATGTGGAGACCCTGACCTGGAGCTTGGAGGACAACTGGGTTATGGATTTTGATTTGGGAACTCTCAACATTCAGGTAGTAATCGGAAACTTGTGAAAGGATGAGGGTCATTAAAATGAGGAGACCACCTCTGACAGAGCCCCAGCGAACAGCCACAACTCAAGGAAGCCTAGGGTAGGGCACCCACACGAGTTCCGAGACGGTGTCTCCAGGAAGTGAGACAGGTGGCCGGTAGACCAAGGAGTGTGACCCCATAGCTAAGTCACAGGGCTGCCCAAGGCCCCCATCAGGTATTCACAAGATCTTGGTGGAATCTCCAGGTGTCGGGGAGAATGTGGAGCCATGAGGGCCAGAGGAGAGATTGTCTTTCCCTTGATCCCTGACAAATGCTCTCTTATTTGGGGTAGGTCAGAGCCATGGGGCTTGCTCTTTGATCATGCATTCATTCACTCATTCATTTGGCATTTATTAAGAACCTACTGCCCTATGTACCCAGCACCAGGGATGGAAGGGTGAATGGAGCACAGTCCCTGCCTACATAGGACACACAGTGTCAGGGGAGGTAGATGGTCACACTCCATAAAGTGTTCCTGGTGCTATGAAAAATGTCTATGCCGAGCTCGGTCAGGGTGCAAGGTAGAGAGTAGTCACGTCTACCTGTGAGGTGGGAGTATCAGAAAAGGCTTCAGAGGGGAGTTGACCCTAAAACTAAACGTCTATGCTAAGGAGGGGCACTGACCAGGGCATGGAGCTATGAAATGGCCCAGCATAGCCAGGAGCCCCTACTGAGACCATGAGCCATATTTTGAGATGCCGTCAGTGGAGCTGAATGAACACCTGAAATGACACCATTCACTCTTTTGGTGTCAAGCATCCACCTGACCTGTGTTCTTTTAAAAACACAAACGTTCTGGGAAAAACAACATATTCAGTTACAACATCTCTCTGCCTGATTGATCGGATCCCTTGGCCTTAGGCAGAGGTTCCTGGGGCTCACGGCTCTCAGGACGAGACAGAGCCCACCTCCATCTCCCAACCCCTTCCCCACACTATTGCCCAAATACATTATTCTGGACACATGAAGCAGTGAAGGCTGAGAAGAAAAGGTCCTAATTGCCCCTGACCCCAATAGCAGGGTCTGATGGTCTGTCCTTCCCTCCCAACCTCGCAGAAAGGAGTCGGGGTATAATCTGAGGCCTCCATTGGCGATATGCTCAGACTAAGTGGAGGATGAACTTTATTAGATTTTCTAAGTACCATGGTTGCTAAGGAAACTGGTTGTTTTCAAGTCTCCATGTGTAAGTCGGAAGCTTGATTTGTGCCACTCCAGAAAGCTACTGCTACCTCATAATAATTTTCCCATTTGTGTCTGATTCTCCAGCATTAACAGTTCATTTCTCTGGGCTAAGCATCATGGGTGCAGGGTGGTGGGAGAGCTGCCTAAAAATACATATGTCCCCAGGAGGTGACACATGCCTCATGGCCATGTTGTTGAGACTGAGTTCATTGAATCTCTGTTCTCTGCAACTGGAGGGTCTAGGCAGGAAGAGGACCATTGGCTCATGGAAGGGGGAGCTGCTTGAAGGGGGAAGGGTATAGGAGGGGGAGGGCGATCACCTTAAAGACCCACTTCAGGTTTTAGCCCAGGAATGGAGCTTGCCTTCACTGTTGTCAGAGGCACAAACCCACTTCCGGCAGGCAGCAGGGCATGCCTGAGATGGCAGTCCATTCACTCGCTCACTTGTCCATCCATCCATCCATCCATTCATTCACTCATTCATTCATCTAGTCAATCAGTCATTCACCAAACCTGTACTGAGCAAGACCCTGTGGGAATACTATGATGAGTTAGGGTCCCTGCAGTCACACCTGATGCTTCTTGCGCACGTCTCACCTTGCACCATGGCTGGATCCTCCACCTGGGACATCTCCATCAGTGTGTGCATTTGAAGCCTGCACTTACCCATCAGCCTCCTCTCATCCACAAAGCCTTCTAGGACCCCTTTCATCATCCAGTCACTCCTTCCCCTCACCCACCCCAGCAATACTGACTCTATGCTTCGCCAGTCACATTTATTTCTTTCCACTGATGTTATGGTTTCTACACATCAAGTCTCATGTCTGCTGTAGAGCAGGGTCCAGACATGATTTCACGTTTGTGTTCCTCCACAGATATGTACACTGTGCTTAATTCATGCTTCTGATTGATGCATGATGAATAAATGAATGAACGAATGGTGGCTAAGTTGTATCATTTACAGGATAATATCCTAAGCTTCCTTCAGCAACAGGTTGGGGACATTTAGAAACTTAGGGTGTTTTCCTGTTACGTTGATACAGGATGTAGGCATATGTTCTGAGTGTGTGTGTGTGTGTGCGTGCGTGTGTGTATTTCCCCTTAAATCATAGACATAAGATTATGCTCAGCCATACACTATTGTTAAAAGGTAAACTCAGGCATATTAAAATTTTTTTAAGAGTTTATTTGAGCAAAAAATCGATTTGAATTGGGCAGCATCCAATCTAGCATATATCAAGGAGCTCTGAGGAGCTGTACAAAATGAGAGTTGTATAGGCAGAAGGGAGTGAGAACAAGGACATTATACTAGGCAAAAAAAGCAGGTTGGGGCTTCCCTGGTGGCGCAGTGGTTGAGAGTCTGCCTGCCGATGCAGGGGACACGGGTTCGTGCCCCAGTCCACGAAGATCCCACATGCCGCAGAGCGGCTGGGCCCGTGAGCCATGGCCACTGAGCCTGCGCGTCCGGAGCCTGTGCTCCGCAACGGGAGAGGCCACAACAGTGAGAAACCCGCGTAATGCAAAAAAAAAAAAAAAAAAATTGCAGGTTGGTTTTTGCTTTCCTTTAGGGGATGGCAGAGGTCTATCAGGCAGATTACTTGACTGGTTTAAGATTCCATTTCTGGAAGAGCTGCAACTGTAATTTAAAGTCTTGGTTTGGTGATGTGGGGCTTAGCATAAGTGACTCCATTTTGGACATGTTGTCTTGTTTTTAACAGTTTGTTTCCATCTTTGTTTGGAGTTAGCAAGAATTCAGGAGTCTCAATCATCTGGATGCTTTATGGATTTTTATAACCATGAAATTATCTTACTTTTATGTGGTGCTTGGAACTTCCCAAGTTTATTCACAACTGCTTCTCACAGCAAGATTACCTTGTCTTACAGAATTAGAAATGACTGCTCAGAGAGGTTAAATGACTTACTTGAGGCCACCCAGCTGTGAGGGGGCAGCAGTCTTCTCACTCGGGTCTCAGCTCCCTCCCCCTTGTTCTTGCCACCCTAAGTGACAGAGGGGCCCAAGGAAGACACACTCCTGCCCTGTCTCGGCAGGGCCTGGGGGGGCCATGTCCCTCATCCCATGGCTCCGGTGGAACGAGTCTCCGCCGCGGCTGTCGTCTCGGAGTCCGGCTCAGATGGTGCTGGAGACACTCATGGTGGAGCTGGAGGGGCAGATGCGAGAGGCTGAGAGGCAGCAGTGGGAGCGCAGCAATGCCGTCAGGAAGATCTGCACTGGAGTGGACTACAGCTGGCTGGCCAGCGCGCCCCGGCCCACCTACGACCTCAGCCCCGGGGAGAGGCTGCAACTAGAGGACGTCTGCGCCAAGATCCACCCATCCTACTGTGGGCCCGCCATCCTCAGGTAACTCCTGGCACTGGGACAGGGACCAGCAGTTGGGCTGCAGGCTCCAGGGAGAGTGGCAGCAGTGACAGGGGCCTGAGGCTACCAGGACTGGAGCCTGGGGCCTGGATGGGACAGGTATCTGTTAAAAGGAGCAAGACAGGGGGAAGAATCTGAAAGAGGCCATGGAAGGCCAGGCCAGGACTCCGGGCTCAGAGGGAGGTGGGAGGCAGCTCCCGGAGGCACGTGAGGTTTTTGTTTTTGTTTTTGCAGAAAAGAACTCAGGTTTATTTGCAGTAGAAACTGTGGCCTAAAAAACAAACCTACTGGTAAATGTACAGTCTGTGTTCTGTTTGGGGTCACCACTAGCTGCAGAACCCCCAGATCCCTGACCTACATGCGTCGGGCCCCCAAGCGTTCACAGCTAATCTCGGGCCCCAGGTCCGAAGCCTTGCTAGAGGGTGTCCCATCTCCTGCCAAAATACCCACATCCCAGCCTGCGCCCAGCCCGCCTCCCCTCCTGCTTCCAGCAGTACAAAAAATAACCAAACCAATATGTTTCCCAAACAAAAACAACATGTGAGTTTTGATAGGAAAGAACCCCAGGCCTTCTAGCTTTCTGTTCTCCCTCTCTGGACTGTTATCATCCTGGTTGTAACGTGGCTGGCTCCCTCTCTTTCAACAGTTCATCTTCCATGTTACCTTCTGAGAGAGGTTTCACCATATAAGCTCTCCAAAATTGGTTCCTCAATTATCTTATTTCACACTAGCTCGTCTAAGGGATGTGTGTGTGTGTGTGCCTGTGTGCGCGCGCTTGTGTGTGAAGGTTTCAGAGCCCTAGGGCACTGGACATTTAGAGCTTGAGTACAATCATGTTGCTGCATATCAGTGTAACCTTAGTAAAGCTGTGATCTACACGGTCCAGTCTCAGTTGGATGCATGTTGAAATCAAGGAAGCAGAGTCCAAGAGCCAAAAGTAGTTTCAAAACTAAAGTTCTTTACCTGCATTTCTCGAACACTAGTAAAGGAATACAGATCCACAGTAAAACATCTTAAAGTCCCCCTTAGTATCCCCAAATCTTCCCTCACTCATCTCTTCAACCAACAGATGCATCTATTGTACACCTTCTTCTTCAAAATTCCCCTAAAATCTCCTCCTTCTTCAGTCCTATTCATACTCCTTTGGGTTTTGTAGTCTTATACCACCCCCCGCTTCTTCCTCCAGGCTGGGAATCTTACCCTCCCCCATTTTTCTTATTCTGCACCATGGAAGCCCCCCAAATGTATACAGTTCCAGAAGCACCCTGGGGACAGGGGTGGGGATGGTCATGGGAGTGGTACTGAGAGAATCTAGGCTGGCAAAGCAACCAAACCTCATACGTGAGGGGGAGGCTGGGGATGCTCATATGATGATTGTCCCATCACATTTCCTGTCTCACTGCTGAAAGGTCTGAGAAGTCCTGACTCTTAATATGGTGGAGGAAATTAGGTATCACACGGACTTGCTAGCTATCCTTCATTCTGGAGCTCCAAGCCAGAGACATTTTTGGCAAAGGAAACACCTTGGCATCCAGGAGAACCTGGGGCCACACTCCTGGCTGCAACACAGACAAGGGAAGTAGCAGGGAGCCCGGTGTGCCTGGCCAAACAGCTCACCCTCACCCAGGAGGTGGCGGGAAGCTATAGAAGGAATATCACATAATCGGACATACATTTCAGAGAGATCATGCTGGCCAGTGAGGGCAGAAGGGTGGGAGAGTGTTAGCCAGAAAAGTCCCAGAGAGCAGTGGGCGTCAGTCGCTACTACTGCATCGATAACCCGAGGTGAGTGCCAGGATCTTTACAGATGTTAGCGCATTACACCTCACAGAAAGGTAGCTATGATGACCCCAGTTTACAGATGAGGAAGCTGAGTCTCAAGGAGTCTCATGGAGGCCAGAAGTGGAAGAGCTGGAACTCAGGATGGGCTGCAGCACGGCGGAGGTGGGGTGGGTTCTGATCCACTTCACAGGAAGTGGGGAAGCGGAGGGAACAGGAATTGTCCACGGGGGTGTCCAGGGACGCCCGTGGGGTGAGACACCGGCCACGTGCCACGCCCGGGCGATAGCCCCACCGCTTCCCCTCTTCTTCTCCCCGCCTCCGCACCCAGGTTCCGGCAGCTGATGGCAGAGCAGGAGCCCGAGGTGCAGGAGGTGTCCCGGCTCTTCCGCTCGGTGCTGCAGGAAGTCCTGGAGAGGATGAAGCAGGAGGAGGCGGCGCACAAGCTGACCCGTCAGTGGAGCCTGCGGCCCCGCAGCAGCCTGGCCACCTTCAGGAGCCGCGCGCGCATCACCCCCTTCGCCAGCGACATCCGCACCATCTCCCAGGACGTGGAGCGGGACGCGCCGCCGCTGCACCGTACCTGGAGCATGCCAGAGTTCCGGGCACAAAAAGAGGACTGACCCCGCCTCTCCTGCCTGGGAGCAGAGCCACCTCGGGCGGGGGGCGGGGGCGGGCGGGGCATGATAAGGCGGGGTCATCCCGGGTCCTGCAACCTCCCTATTGCCCTGCCCCTGACGCGGGGCCAAAGAGACCGCCCCGTCCCCGGACACTCCCTCAAGATGGAGCAACCCCTCCCCGCCCGCCCTCTCCCACGGACCACGAGGCCTAGAGTCAGGGCTTGGAGCTGCAGCAACAATCTCCTGCTCCCCTGCACCAGTCGGCTGGAGCGGACCCTTCCCCGCCCCGCAGAGATTCAGGGTCTGGGCAGACAGACCACCACCTGCTCCCCATCTTCAGCTTCTGTCTGGAATGGGAAGAGTTGCCCTGCCTTTTGCCAAGTCATGAGCTCTTACCCCAACTTAGGGATGTCCCATTCACCCCCTCTCCCTGGGTAACGATGAGGGGACCTGTTGGCTGGTGTCCATTCTCTGCTAGTGACTGGTCTGTCTCACCGCCGCAGGTGGGTCACAGCCTGGTGGATGGGGAGAGCTGAAAGGGATCACAGGTCCACTCTCCTCAACTAGTGAATGAGGAAACTGAGGCTGAGAGAGCGTCAGGCTTCTGCCACCATTAACTGCAGCCAAATCCCACGGGTGGTGAGACTGTTCCCATACATGTAAGTCTCTGCTCCTGAGTCCTTGAGTCCTGGGCTGTGATGGGACAGGTCCAGTGGCTAATCTCCACCTGCCTGTGGTCTGACCCGTCTCTCTCCTTGGCACTGGTGTGGAGGTCTGCAGTAGCTGGGGACAGAGGGGGTTGCCATTACCCCACTCCACAGTGTCGTCACATGGGAGGTGGCCAGTCCCCAGCAGCTGCTTCCAGAAGCTAAGCTTCAAGGCCTTCTGACTCACTGCTCCAGAGAGCCAGGCCTTTGACTCCAGGGTCCCTTCTCTATCTGGTTGTGCCTACTCTTTGACTTTCTTCAGAGAAAGTGATGCCCAAAGCTCTAATGACCTCAAGGCACAGAAGTGAAATGTCTGGAACCTCCTTACAGGCTTCACTGTCCTTCCATTTCTAACTGGTTAGATCTTTTTTCGCAGCGAGTGGGGGCTACACTTCGTTGCAGTGAGCAGGCTTCTCACTGCGGTGGCTTCTCTTTGTGGTGGCTTCTCCTGTTGCAGATCATGGGCTCTAGGCGCGTGGGTTTCAGTAGTTGTGGCACGTGGGCTCAGTAGTTGTGGCTCGTGGGCTCTAGAGTGCAGACTCAGTAGTTGTGGCACACGGGCTTAGTTGCTCAATGGCATGTGGGATCTTCCTGGACCAGGGCTCGAACCCGTGTCCCCTGCATTGGCAGATGGATTCTTAACCACTGAGCCACCAGGGAACCCCTAACCGGTTAGATCTTGATGATGGGCATGTGGATTATCCAATGTGTGGATCAACAATGGCAAATCTAGAAGACCAGGCGGCATCCCCACATACTCTGGGCTGAAGCTGGGTGTGGGGGATGGGTGTAGGCATGTCTGCCCCCAACTCTCAGTGCATGCTCAGAAAATGCAAGTGAGTCTTAATGTTAGTCTAAATAAAATGCCAGGAGGAGACAAATCAACAGGGGGAAAATCTATATATTCCCTGACAAAGCTTAGTAGGAAAAAAAAATTTTTTTAATGATCTTGTTTTGGATATTTTCACTCATATCTGGACAGAGAATCACAGGATGGTGGACAACCTCTCATCCAACGCCATCATGATGAAGGAGTTGATTGGCTCATTAACACGATTGGTGAAAGTTGAGAATCACTTAAATAAACATACACACCTTAAACATCTCATATATTTTAAGACACAAATAAGTTCATTCAACTGCCAAACTTTTAATGTAGGTGCAAGCTGTGTTCACTTTTTTTGTGACATGTGTGGGTTGTCTGACAGGAGCTCTGCACTTAAGTTTTATTGGCTGGTGTGTACTTTAACTGTAACAACAAGAACAACTGGTATAAACAAATTTTGGCCTTCCAGGAAAGCCTTTCCTGCCCACCTCAGTCAACTCAGACAGACCCCCACCAGCTTCAGACTCCAGTCATCCTACTGCAGGGAATCCCAGCTGGTGGCACTCAAACCCATGAGGTTACTCCTCTGGATTCAGGTCATTAAAGGGAGTAATGAGGCCTCAATTTCTAGTCTTACAAGCCCAATAACAACAAATGAAAGAACAAAACAGTTTGAGAGCCTCCTTGTCAGTGTGAGAGTGGCTGGTGGCAGTTGGAGGGGATGTGTTGAGCGCTCCAGACTGGGTAGTCTGTTTGCACTCAGCTCAACACCACTGGCCACTAGAGGGAGCCAGTGGGTGTGGGACCACTCCATGATTACATTTTCTTTTGCTTTGTGGTTTCTTTTTTATTCACTTGTTTCGCCTTATGAACATTTTCAGACACAGAAAAGTAGAGGGGAAAGTGTAGGGAGTTTCCATATGCCCATCACCAAGGTTTAAACGTTATTAACATGTTGCCGTATTTGCTTTTCTATTTTTTGGTGAAGTATTTTAAAATAAATCCTAGACATCATAATACTTTACCCCTGAATACTTCAGGATACACTGCAAAAGAATAAGAAAAATTTCCTGTGTAACTACAATACAATACTATCACTCCCCCCAAAATTAACAGTAATTCCTTAGTATCATCTAATACCCAAACCATATTCAAATTTCCCTATTCCCAACCAATGATCTTTGCAGTTTATTTCTTTGAATGAGGATCTAATCAAGCCCCACATATTGACAAGAAAGTTGTAGTTTGTTTTATTCTTGGTCATATAGTGTTTAATTCCACAATGAAATGTTGTTTTAAAAGAGGGCTTATGAAACATGAGTGTTAGTATGCAATAAGTTAATGGCTGCACATAAATGATAACAATTCTGCAAATTAGCCTAAGGATGCTCTTTACTCAGACCCTTGGTTTTTTCATTTGATTAAAGTTCTTCCAGAGCAAGCAAAATTCTCTAATACCCTGAAAAGTAACATCAAAAATCAATATAGGGCTTCCCTGGTGGCGCAGTGGTTGAGAGTCCGCCTGCCAATGCAGGGGACACGGGTTCGTGCCCCGGTCCGGGAAGATCCCACGTGCCGCGGAGCGGCTAGGCCCGTGAGCCATGACCGCTGAACCTGCGTGTCCGGAGCCTGTGCTCTGCAATGGGAGAGGCCACAACAGTGAGAGTCCCGTGTACCGCAAAAAAAAAAAAAAATCAATATAGACAGTATATCTAATTTGACTTTTCATTTGGTGAAAATACTCTTCACATCTATGTGTCTTAGTTTTTTTAAATTTATTTATTTATTTTTGGCTGTGTTGGGTCTTCGTTGCTGTGTGCAGGCTTTCTCTAGTTGCGGCGAGTCGAGGCTACTCTTCGTTGCGGTGCGTGGTCTTCTCATCACGGTGGCTTCTCTTGTTGCAGAGCACGGGCTCTAGGCATGTGGGCTTCAGTAGTTGTAGCACACGGGCTCAGTAGTTGTGGCTCGCGGGTTCTAGAGCGCAGGCTCAGTAGTTGTGGCTCATGGGCTTAGTTGCTCCGTGACATGTGGGATCTTCCTGGCCCAGGGCTCGAACCCATGTCCCCTGCATTGGCAGGCAGATTCTTAACCACTGCACCACCAGGGAAGCCCTATGTGTCTTATTTTTTGAGACACGCATGCAAACAGCAACTGAAAACCTTCTCTTCTTTTCTTGCCATTTAGAAACAAAGCACTAAAATTTATCAAAATAACTCGAGGGAAATCTCAAGAATTCTATATAGTAGGTAGTGAAAAAACTTTATCTGTTTTTGATGCCATCATTCAACACGTAGTGAAATTTCAGTCTGTCTTAATATTCATGTGGTTCCCCAACGAAACACAATAGGTTATTTGAAAATTTATTCAACAACAAATCATTTTTAGACAGTTATTTTAAATCAGTTTAACATGTTGCTTCATTTGTTAAATAGAGAGATTGGCATCTGTTTCCTTATGAATATTACTACCTATTGTATTAAATTAGCATTATTGTATTTCGTAAGATGCTAATCTAAAAATAAAAACACTGACTACAAATCATGACTTTATCATAATCAAGGCAAAAACAGCAAAATGATTTTTTAAAGTTTCTAAAGATGTCCAAGAGTGTTTGTATTGCAGAGAAAGGCGTTCAAAAGCTAAGAGAAGCTGGAGTGTTTTCTAGCACACTTGATTGTGTTGCGTTCCAGTTACAAATCCCTTGCTGGAACAAATGAAACATTTCCAAAGCCCTGCAGTCAAGCTTGGAAGTTCTCTAGCCCGGTCTCCCCTCCCAGCTAGCATTTGGTGTGTGGGGAGAATTCCATTCCAGGAACAAGTCATTCCTCTCCGTGTAGCCAAGTCCTGAAGCTAACTGCTTAGAACTACTTCTGGCCCTTGCTTGGGGCTGTGGGCCTCTTCGAGGCTCTCACTAAGTATCCAGGCTCTGGAACACAGGGCAGAGTGGATTGAGGTTAGCCTCTCCTTTAGTAGAAAAAAAATCAAGCCAGTAGTAAATTAAGCTGCTCCAAAGTGCAGCTTCAGGGATGGGAGAAATACATCTTTTATTCAAGTGAGCCAGTCCAACAATATTGCTATGGACAGAAATGGCTTTGTCAGCAAGAAAATTCCTTTAATAATTAACATTTGAATGGTCCTTTACAGTTTACCCACCTTATCTCATTTGTTCGTGACCCTGTGGTGAGGTGCATTATGTTTTATCTTAGGTTACAAGCAAGTGGCCCACGTGGACTGGAAACCAGGCTTCCTTCCACATGCCTCACTGCTTCTCAGCGTTATAGATCCTACGTGCACTCAGAACAGCCCCCAAAATCCTCATCACTGTACTTACCACACAGTGATGGAAGTGTATGTGGTTCATTCCTCCCCTTCCCTGCCAGGCCACTGCCTCCAGTAGTTTGTGAAATCCTTAAGTGCAGGAACCAGGTCTTTCATCTCTGGGTCTCTACCACCTTCTGGGCACAGAGTACGTACTTTAAAATGTGCCTTAATGCATGGGTGCATGTGAACACCAACTTGGAGCTC